GGCTTATATACATAATATTTTAAGATATCTAGTTGCTTTTTTTTAACAATGAAGGTAATATTAGTAGTTGGCAATTTAAGTTTATTTGGTTGTGTAATACAATTTTTAATTTTATGATAAATACTTAATTGTTTAATGTTTTTAAATTATAATTATTTTATATCAATAGTGACCTGAAATTGATTGTAGTAAAATTTAATAATATTGTGTTATTGATTACAATTTATACCTATCTCCGTGATGCCCTTGATGCGACTAGAAAATCGACACTGAACGTTTTCCGCAAACATTCCAAGAATAAATTTTACCAGGTCTGTGTTTTTATTTAAAACTGCTTACAAAAAATTGCTGCGTAAGAGTAATTTTTTACATCTGTGGCTTTTGAGAAAAAAACAATCAATATCTCATACCAAAACCATCAGATCGATTTGAATCGGGTTTTGTGATTTCGTTTTCTAATACTTTAAAGTACTTACATCTACATTTAATAACAACTAAAATATGATATGCGCGGGTATCAAAACTAATAATTCTATATTGAAGCAAATTTCATAACAGAAAATTTCATCAGTAATGTCTTTTTCTGTAAACTGCATATTTAAAAAGTTATATTGGAACATGTGAGAAAAAACGCGTCATTTTTGAGTGTTTTTGCAGTTTTTAATTTTTCTAGCAAATAGCACAACTTTTTTCCTGGCGCAAACCTATATTTTCATTGTGTACATTATTTTCGATCGATATTTACTGATATCTAATCTCTACGTCAAGTAACAGCCATATCTCGAAGCTTTTGAGCTTAATTCTCTTGGATTAAGAATCATACTGACATAAGTGTATATAAATAGGTACAATGGTTATCATTCGCTTATCTGCTTTACCAAGACTATTTTTATACAAATAAGAGTCGAATACTTTGCCTAGAAATATAATTTTTTGTCAATTTCTTGTAATCCACGCATCTTATAGAAAACAATTAAAGAAACTGGCTGTCACAAATAGTTCAGCCACTTAGAATTGGTCATAAAATGCAGGATAAGTAATAGACAAACCAGTGTACTTACATCACGTTACTATAATTATTTAGTTCGTTATTTTGTTAATTACAATCGCCAGGGTAGGATTGGCTTGATTGTAAAAAGAACAAAAGGTGGTATTTTGGAAAACAAAACCATTTATGGTGTATTGTATATATTATTAAAATTTAAGATTATAAAACAAATAAAATACGGAAAGCAAACTACAGTTCATGTTTTTTAACGAGGTTTTCATATTCCAAGCTTGCTCCAAAAGTCGATAGGGGTCACACTTTCGCTCCTGTGCAGCTTCATGTCTTCTGGTCCATTTATAAGCAAATAAGTCAGCTCTTCAGATCCCGTTGGTTGCCAAACGTCTGTCCCATCGAAAGAAGGATTACTAAAAAATTAGAATTAATGAAGGAAATAAGTCTTTCAAGGAAATTTATGTTATTTTTACCCGCTGCTGGCATATGAGTACAATATATTCTGGCAAGCAGTAACCAAACGCTTATCCTGTTCCGATAATGGTAGTATATGTAGTATACCATAGAAGTAGATGCCATCTTCACTGTGACACACACCTGTGAAAATGATGATGTTAGATTTGATTTCGTTTGTAATATTTATTCAATCCGCTCAGCGACGGCATTAATCATTGCAAGGCTCCGGGTATTAGATCTTTGCGAGGCCCTAGTTCTTTATAAATTGTACGTAAATCGAATGTGGATATTTTATTTATGGAAATATGTTAAGTGCATAAGAAATATTGTCAAAAGTCAGTGGGTCGCTTGATTTTCGGTGAGCTGTGGCGCGGCAGAAGGGTGGGGGAAGCGATCGACAGCGAGTCCGAAGAAATTGACGATAATATTCATAGTCCTGCCGTTAAAAAAGCGAAATTCGCTTGAAAATAATATATTTGACAGTCTGTAACTCCGTTGTTTTTCAACGAATCTTGACGATTTTTTTTTAAACTTAAAGCTCTTTTCATAAGCTTTCCGAATATGTAATAATATATAACTATATCACGCTCGTGCGTCGTATATTTCATTTTGCAACTAAGGCTAAAAAATAAAAAAAATTTCCAGGTTGCAAATTTGAAATTAAAAAAAAATGATAGATTTCAATGTATTATTATGAAATCTACCATGAAAAAAATCAGTGCGATTGTGGAAGATCCTCGGGATCGTCCAGACTAATAATTAGTTAATTTGTTTATAAGGCCATAACTTGTAAACTATTCAACTTACCGATTCCAGATTTCGTGTGAGTTATTAGACAGTGATGAGGAATGAGAGGATGCGATGCCAAAACGTTCTGGTAATAATAACGCAGTTTATAAATGTTTATTTCAAAAGTCATAAATAAACTTCTTGTGTTTATAAATTTTGATCTAATCAATATTTTTTATACTCGAGTTTTGTAGGTCTTTTGAAGATGAAAAAAAGTACTTTACTGTTCTCGTGGAAATTAACGGAAAAAGTTATAAGCGAAAACTTGAATTTACGTAAAAATTATACAATTAACCACCCTGTAAACAATCTTCCCCCCATTTTTATGACTGTGGAAACTAATATGTTATTGTGCATAATATTTAGCATCTATAGCGGTAAATTCTGCTTGCCGAAACAAAAAGTCGCGCCCAACTCTACATTTCCTGGCCTATAATATTTACTATGAATTAACCAACTTTATTTTATTGTCATGTAAAGTTTTAAATACAGTGTGTCTACTTAAGTTGGAACATATGGAAAACTTTTTTATTATTGGTTTTATGGAAAAAAGTTATTCTTCATAAAAAGTTCTGCATGATCCAAAATCTAAAATGCAATCTTCAGTTATCAAAATTTCTCAGTCATATACGAGGTGTATCAGAAATTATGAATTTTGCTCAAGAATAAAGTACCCTTATTTTTGACAATACAGAAGAGTGTTGTAAAGAAAAGTTATGTTAAATTAAAAGTTATTTTCAAATATGCAATTACAGCCATTTAGCATGAAGATTCAGGTTTTGTGATTATTTACGTTTTTTTTTATAAATTTGCATTTATCTCTCTTATCTGTTAAAAATATGATAACTTTTCCATTTATTAATGTCTATGAACAACTTTGCAATTTAATTATAATAATAATACAAATAATTTATAATGTAAAACGTAAATAATCACAAAACACTGAATCTTCATGCTAAATAGCTGTAATTGCATATTTGAAAATAACTTTTAATTCAAAATAACTTTCCTTTACAACACTCTTCTGTATTGTCAAAAATAAGGGTACTTTACTCTTGAGCGAAATTCATAATTTCTGATATACCTCGTATACGACTGGCAAATTTTGATAACTGAAGGTTGCATTTTAGATTTTAGACCATGCAGAACTTTTTATGTAAAATAACTTTTTTTCATAAAACCAATAATAAAAAAGTTTTCCACATGGTTCCAACTTAAGTAGACACAATGTATAAACTTTTTTTACTCGGGTTGTTGTGCGAGGCCCCTACAAGAGCGAGGCCCTACTCGCTACCCCGTAAGGCCGCCACTGATGTGGCTTCTTCCCTAGTTAAATATTCAGTTCTTACCTTCTATTTCATCTGTTCCAGTTAAGAAGTGCATCGGTTTGTTTACACCTTCGGTGTAATTGAATATGTAAAGATATACTGGAGATTTCGTCACCTTGGCTTGCAGTTTAGCGGCGAGTTCTGCAGAAACAGCGAACAACCTGTCAGTAAGCATCTAAATGCAAATAAAAACAAAATAAAGTAAATCAATTTTGTTTCACAAACTGAGGAAATATACCTGTGTAAATTTCTTGAAATTCTTCTTATCGATTTTTTCTCCTGGTCCCAAATAGTAGTCTAAAACTTCCCTCGCTACTGTCTCCTTATTTGGTGCGGATAGAGTATCGTTGCAATCCAACAGATAGGGAGCTATTTCTACCCACTTTTCATCTACCTCTTCCAACTTTTGCCAAAGAACTGGAGAATTATATAATATGAATTACTTTAAACAGTTTTGCATTGCCAAATCATTGCAGGGTATAAGAAAAAGAAAGGAAGGAGACTCACGTCCTGTAAGAAGCAATCCTTCACCGGTAGTGAAGGAGGTAATCCAAGGCACATCGTGGACTTTACCTTCCTTCAAAAGCTGGTAAGGTTCCGCGTCTAGAAAAGCGTTCGTTGATCCTTTTTCCACCACCGGCGCAAAAGGCGCGAATGGCAAAAGGTCGAAACCATAGAAATATTTCAACTGATTTAGTATATCTTGTACAGGTCTCTGCTTAAGGCACTTCTTCAGTTCTTCCGAGGGGCTGTCAGGACAGCCCAACAACACAGCAAGCTTCTTAGCGCGTTGCAAAGCATTTTTCTTCGTTGCCGACGGTGCTATAGCTGTACCGCTTTGAGACACCCCTCTGATGAATAAACCTTTAGAGAGGGGTGAGAAGTAGTGGAAGTGGACGCTGGCGCCTCCCGCTGAAAAGCCCACTATGGTAACGGAGTCGGGGTTTCCCCCAAACGAAGCGATGTTGTCCCGGACCCACTTGAGTGCTAAGACTTGGTCCTTCAGGCCGTTGTTTCCGGGTATGGCGTCATCTTCCGTGCTAAGGAATCCTGTAACGTTAATTGAATAAATACTGACATGGGAAGACAATGTTAAAGAAGCAACGTACCTAGAATACCAACACGGTAATTGATAGATACAAGCACGACCTCCTTGTCTAGGAACGTATTCAAATCCGCGCTGCCGCTGCCGCCCATAAAGGCACCTCCGTGGATTGAAACTATAACGTCAAGGGCCTTGGGGTTCTCCACGGAATCTTCTGGGATATACACGTTTAAGTAGAGGCAGTCTTCGTTTCCTAAGAAAAAATACATACACTTTCGTAAGAAGTAAATGCTTAAAAGGCATATAAAAATAATATTTCTTCGCACTTTGAGACAAGCGTAATTAGGTTTCAAGTTACTTGGTGTTTTATACTGACCAGATATTTCTTCAAGAGTGGAAAGAACAGGACCTTGGGAACATGTATGAGGAGCGTTGGCCACCCAAGTTCCTGACCAAGCTGGAATGGGTTCAGGTTCCTACAAATACGTAAAGAAGCATTGACTGTTAATTTCGACATTTTATACAGGGTGTCTCACATTTAAATAGCAGGACTTCAGGAATCAGTAGAAGACCTCATTTTGAGTCTAAAAGTTCCTATATATATGGGTCCTAAAACGCTTTGTTTCTGAGATACAGGGCGTTCAATTTTATTTTTGTTTTATTTATTTATTTTTTAACTAAATAACCGCTGACAAAAAAAATCATCATGTTGCGGCGAAAGACTTAGTATTTAAGGGCAAATAATTTGACACAGAAAATCATCGCATATTAGTTCCAGTGGTGGAGATAGAGGGGTCTCTATGCATATTTTTATAAAAAAAAGTATAGCCGATTTGATATTTTCCAAATGTTTTCGAAAAATATGAAAGAGCATTCAATTTTACCCAGAAAAGGCCCTCTTGTCCAAAGTCGATAGGAGGTGGCGTTTTCAAGAAAAACCGAAAATACTGTTTAGAAGTCAAATAATAATTTTTAAACATTGTGTTACAACTAAATTAAATATGTAGTTCAAAAATTCGGTTAAAATTGTTTTTAATTAATTAAATGAAAATAAATACAAAAATAAATAACGAAAACCATATTACATCAAAGCAAATGTTCGAAATGTAAACCATTTTCTTCGATACATAACTGACACCGACGCTGAATAGAACGTCTCATTTGAATTAAGTTATTGTCTCTGATTTCACTGCATGCGTTCCGAATCCGACGAATAAGTTCATCCCTTGTGTCCACAGTAGTGGTATAAACTCTCT